CTCTCCCTGGCTTCCTGGCCTCATTACCCATGTTCTTGCCCCCTCTTCAGCCAGTGCTCTGGATCCAGACAGAACTGGGCATCTGCGAGCCGAGCTGGGGCTGGGGCTGGGGCTCTCTCAGGCCCCTGCAGCTGACTGCCTGGTCTCTGAAACACATGGGCACAGTCTGAGTCCTGAACAGAGGCTGCCCGGATAGGCTGGACGATGGGAGGGCTTGAGACTGGGCTTGGAGAGGCTGGGAATGTTGGAAAGATGGAAGGGGGAGGAGGTGGTGTGGGTGGGGGCTGGGGAGCGGTGTAGCTGGGGGAAGGCTAGGCAGACCAGAAGCTGGGACATGGTGCAGGAGTGAGGGGAAAGGACACTCCGAGCCTGAGGAAGAGTGGCCCTAACCAGACTGGAGCCACCATTTTAGAACATTGATTACTCAAGGTCAGATGCAGTGTCTCCTGGGTATTTGGAACACACATACCTTGAAAAGTAGCAGCTGGAGGGAGATTTCAGCTACGGATTTATGCACGTTCATATATCACCCAATTTCCCTGGCAGGCAGGCCTGTTCCCCTCCTTTTAGCACAGCTTCAGACCTGCCCCTGCCGTCTCTGCTGCTCTCCCCGCCTCTGCTTCCTCTACGGCCCAGTCACCACCACTGGCCAGCTCACTGACTGCTTCCTCGCCCCTCTCGTACATGGATAGTGTGAGCACCAGTCAGAAGAATGTGCCTCCATGAAAGTGTGGGGCCCCTGCTCTTGCCTCGGTCATCTCCCCACTGGTCCCAGCCCTGTCTCGCCCTCATGAACTTCCTTCTAACTTGCTCACCACTCCCTCCTGGAGAAGACAGGAGCCCATCTCTCCTCTGCCTCCCTGCCCCACCTCTGTCATAAGTGTGCCCTCATGAACTTCCTTCTAACTTGCTCTCCTCTGCCTCCCTGCCCCACCTCTGTCATAAGTGACTGGCAGTGACCTGCTAGTCCTGAGGAGGTTTGGCTCAGTGCCCACCAGGGTTCCAGCTCCCTGCCTCTGCCCCCACCCCAGGAATGGGCAGGGAGGAGGTGGGGGAATTGAAGTGGAATCACCCTTGGGGAAGGAGCCTGGGCAAGCATCACAGGACCTTGAACCTTCCAGAGCCCTAAGGTAGGGCCCACATGATGGTACCTATTCTCTTCTCAGTCCCTCTCCATGTCGATCAACCATGACCAAGGTGGAGTCCCAGGGATGCTGAGGGAGGCCGCAGTGGCCAAGGTACCAGGCAGAGGCCTTACACCCTCTGGTCTCCAAGCGGGCCCTTTCTGCAGGAGGCCTGGCCCACTGGAGCCCTGTTAGTTAAAACTTCCTCCAACCTCCCACTCTCCTTTCCACCAATCAACCTCAAAAGACACAGCTGAGTCTGTGAGCAAAGGCTGCAGCACAGGAGAGAAGAGTAGGAGACAAAGAAGCAGCAAGGAGGGAGAGAAATGGCAAAAAAAATGCCCTGAAAATGAACTGAAAAACCACCCCCGATCCCTTCCACCCTGCCCTGGGTGTAGGCCCTGGGCAGGCACCAGATGACTTCCCACAGTTCCCATTCATCTCATTTCCACCCATAATCAGTAAGCACCTACTTTATGCCAGACACTGTGCTGGGTAGAGAGGCCCAACCAGGTGAGTGTGTTAGGGTGATAACAGAAAATTCCACTAGACTCTGTGGTCCTGAAGCCCAGTATCTGCTCAGTTTTAGATCGTCAGTGTACAGCAGAGTTCCTGGCACTTACAGTGAACGTTGTGGAATGAATTACACATTCTTGTGGCATTCCCTAGGGAGGATGTTGAGCATAGTAGTCAGGGAGGCCGTACAAAATAGTGGGGAAGCGTGTGTGGGTTCTGCAGTCGGACTGCCTGAGTCGGGCTCCGCCCAATTCAATGTGTGAGCTTGGGCAAGCTACTCTCCCTCTCTGACCCCAGTATCCTCATTTGCATATAGGGATTGTTCTGAGGATTAAAAGGTGATGTCTATAAAATGGCAACCCGTGCCCTGCACATAGGACAGCTGGAAAAGACCATCACAGGGCTAGAGCAGGTGTGTGTGTGTGTGTGTGTGGGGGGGGGCATAATGGATGGATGCAACAGATTATTCATTAGCTGAATCCACCAGGCTTGGTGGCTGATTGGATGTGGGGGAAGGAGGGAACAAGGTTTCTTGCTTAGGCAGTGGTGAGGCTCCTGGAGTAGGAAGCTGAGAGGGGCAGGGCAGGAGGAGGGGCAGGTGGGTGGAAAGGGAGTTTTGGACCTGCCTAGTGAGAAGGACCTGTGAAGATTCAGGAAGCTTTAGGCTCCACAAGCAGAAAGGCCTGTGTGGGAGGAATATGGCCCAGAATCAAAGCCAGGGACTGAAAAGCCCTCCTTACCCATTCACCCTCCTCAACTATTACGTGGGAGCCTCTGCGGTCCCCTGCCACCTGCCTGAAGAGAATGGGGCAAAAGGTTTGCTCTATGGGTAGACTGAGTCAAGGGGCCCTGCTCTCCAGCCTCCATCCCCTGCCTGTTCCTCCGCCACCTCTGCAGCCTGTGTGCACCCAGCCTGGGGGCAGTGACTCTGGGTGGGAACTGTCAGGCTGAGGCAGGACTGCGAGTGGTCATGCACCCGGGCTCTAACTGCTTCGGTAGAATCCCTCACTGCTCCACCTCTTCCTAGTCATGGCACCTTGGGCATGGCATTTGACCTTTTGGTGTCTCAGCTTCCTCATCCGTAAAGTGAGGTAATAATAATAATACCTATCTCAGGATTGTTGTGATGATTAAATCAGCGAATGTATATAAAGTATCAAGTACAGGGCCTGTGCATGTTATTATTATTATTATGTATCTGTCCAGTCTGGGCAGGGCTGGCATGTGTCCCTAAGATGACTCACCATCTGGCTTGGGATGTCTTCCTCAGGCACACTACCCTAGTTCCCTGCCCCTCCAGGCCTCAGCCTCAGTCGGATCTCTACTGAGCTGTCATTCTATTGGCCAGCCCCCACCCAGGAATCCTGAGCCATAGAAACCTGCCCATCATGGGCTCGGTGGGAGCCAGGGGCTTTGGCTGCCAGTTACAACAATGAGATAAGTGGAAGGGCCAACCTTGATGGTCTCCCTTGGCTACCAGTGAACAGGTAATCAGCAGGCCATCTTCTCAGGGAGGGGGAATGAGAAAGAGACGTGAAAACAGAAAGGCAAGGCAAGGATATGTTGAGGGAGAACACAGGTGGGGGAAAGTGGGTTTGGGACACTTTCATTTTCACCGATTTGAATGACTTTCATTTGTACCCCACTCCTCAATTTGTACCCTTTAGCTTCCTCCCTTACACATATAGTCCAGATTAGAAGAATGAATATAACATATACACAACACAGCATAGCATGTGGTTTCAGTGAAGTCGGACAGCCTGAGTTCAAGCCCCAGCTCCATTATTTACTAGCTGTGTGGCCTCAAAAAGTTACTTAATACCTTTGAGCCTCAGTTTCCCCATCTGCAAAGTGGTAATTCAAAGGGTAATGGCAGAGATTACATACTGTACATGTGAAGCACTTGGACCCGTGCCAGGCACTGACAGGCTATTGTGGCCCGCAGAGAGGTCTATAGAAGCAGATGTCCTGCCTCATTCCCCAGCTCCTTTTCCACCTGCCCAAGGTGGGGGCAGTCGGAATAGTGTTCTGACCCCACTGACCGTCTTTGGAAACTCCCCTGCAAGTGCTTCAAACCAGGTCACTGGCCACAGCAACCTGAAACTTCAACACTCCCCACACCTAACTCCCCCTGAACACTCTTCCCCAGGCGCACCCGACCCCAGCCTGCTATCCCTTCCTGCCAATAGCCAAGCTGTTCTTCCTTCTGCCAGCTTCCCAGGGCTTGGGTGGGTGGATTGGGGCTTGAGTCCAGATGGTCCTCAGGTCCCCCTCCTTCCCTGGAGGGGCATGTCAAACTCCACCATGGTTTCTCACAGTGTGGACAAAGCAGGGAGCCTGAGGGTGCTAATTCCAAACACCAAGCTCCCATTTCACACCAATAGGGACTGAACCTGAACTGGGGGTGTGTGTGCAACTTGCATTTTGACGAGCTCCTGGGGAGATTTTCCAATGCACAATCATCACAGCGAAAACTGGCAGCCCCACCCCAGCTCCAAGAACACAGTCAGCGGTGGCAGATGGGGACTCGGTGTCCCAGAGCAAGGGGACGGATTGTTAGAGAAGCGCTTCCCCCAGTCCAGGCAGGCTCCGCAGCAGAGGGGAAGGGACAGCGATGGGGCCGAAAGGGAGCGAGTCCTAGAAAGTCGGGGGCGGGGCGCGCGCCTCTTTCTAAAACCCTCATTAACTTGCTGAGCAATTACCGGGGCGCCGCCGGAGTCGCTGTCTCTCTGCCGCGTCAGAAGCTGGAGTGGGGCGGAGAGGGAGGCGCGGGGCCACCTGCGCGGTGGTGGAAACTGAGGCCCAAGGAGGGGGCGAGCCTGCACGGGACTCTGCAGCTCCCCCCTGGGAGCGCGAGTGGAGGACGTGTTCCTCCCAAACGCCCTCTTTTCTTGAAGCTCAGCCACAGCTTCATCCATCTCGAAGCACAGTCCTTCCTCTCCAGCCTCAGCTTCCCCAACCGCGCCCGCGTGTGCACGGAGGGCGGAGAGGGGAGCGTGGGGTGGGCATCTGGGCGCGCAGCGGTGGGAGGCCAGGCAGTGGGATTCCCCACCGGAAAGCAGCCCAATCCCTCCCCCGGGCTGTCTGAGACCCTGAACCGAAACAGGAGGCAGAACGCCCCAGCCGGGAAGCGGCCTCGGCCCGGATTTCCCTCCCGGGTGGGGCCACAATGACTCACCTCCTCCCGCCCCCTCCCCCCCTTC